GAGAGGTTTTTGCTATAGGGTGTGTGTGCTCACCAGACAGACAGAGAGAGACAGAGAGACAGAAAGCGAGAAATCACCCCCCAGGGGGGATGACCACGCTGCAATCCATTCTCCTCCATTCTTCCTCGGAATCTTGGGCACACACGCACACGTGCCCGGCGTGCGTTTATATATATATATATATAGTTACCAATTGGAGACCTTGGGCAAATTCCATAAACTCTCCAAGTGTCAGCTTTCTTGTCTATGAATTGGGGAAAATAATTCCACATTCAAAGACAGTGACTGTAGGAGCAGTCCCTCCGAGCAGTTTAGAACATTTTGACCTTTCGGCATCATTTCTGCCTCCATGATTGGCTTGTTGATCTGTCGCCCATGTGTACAGACTCACTTCTTCCTTGCCTTTCTGGGTATTTACACTTAGCTATTAGTTGTCATTGAATGCTATCTTTGCTTTTTTGTTTTTTAACTGCCAGAGTGTGTGCGGGGTTACTCTATAGTCCTGTCTCCATTGCAAGCACCCCGCATGTTATTTTTTTCTGTAAAGTTTTTGCAGTAGGGTGCTCATACACACCGGAGAGAGACACTGAGAGGAAAAGTGAGAAGTCACTCCCCGGTGGGGGGATGGCTATGCCAAAATACCTTCTCCTCCAATCTCATCCTGGGATTTTGGGCACAAATGCACATGTGCTCATTGTGATTTTCAAGCCTCCAGATCTGGGACTCGAACTACAGTCAGCCATGTGGGAGTCTAGCACCTTAACTACCAAGCCAGGAGGGTTTTTTTCCAACATGTTTTTTAAGCTGCTGGGGCTGGGATTTGAACTGCAACTGGCCATATGGAATTTGGCTCCCTTAATCCTTAGTCCATAGGACTGGACCTAAAATACTATCTTTTGATGGGAAATATTAATAAACTGTTCTTTATGTTCTCTTTCAGTTTAATAAGCAGTCTTTAACTCAGACACCGGGGAGAGAACCTTCCACACCCCGGGTGCAGAAGAGGGCCCGTTCACGCTCCTTCAGTGGGCTTATTAAGGTAGGTATGCTGTGCTGTCATTTTCAGCACTGACTGAGAAGAAATTTAACAGTGCAACTTTCCTTATGTGTTAACAGTTTTCTTCTCTTCTTTGGGAAGCCATAGAAGGTTGAAGGGGTAAATAGAAAGTTTAGAGAAACTTATTTTTCAAGACATTTTGCTGCATTCAAAATCAGAGAAGGTGTCTATGGAGAAGTGAAGAGAAAAAGAAATAATAGGCTTTCTCTTCTGGGATTTGTGTCAAATTCATTAAAAATGTTGTATTTATTATTTATTTATTTTTAAATTGCCAGAGAGCACATGTGCTTGCCAGAGAGAGAGAGAGAAAGCACCCTCCCAAGGGGATGTGGTCATGTGTAATCTCTTCCTCATTCTTTAACCTTGTTGAGATCTTGGGCACATGTGTGTGTGTATCCAGCATGTTTTTCAAGCCAGCGGGACCAGGGGTCATACCGGAGTTGGCTATATGGGATCTAGCTCCATTAACCACTAGGACATAGGACTGGCCTCCAAAATTTGTTTTTAAAACAAATACAAAGTATACTTCCACGCTGCTGTTGCCATCACTGCAGATTCCGTTGACAAGTGTTCAGTTGACCTGACTTGTAGTTAGGGAATATTGCCATCAGGTGGCAGTAGGTAACTTGATTATGGGGCTCAAATTTTCAGGCAAAGACTAAGGCAAGGTTCTGGCTTAACATGAGAGAAAGGAACGTTGTTCTATGTTCTGTTTTTCCATTTTAAATTGTTTTTAACATTATTAGTGTAAATCTGGCAACATTTAAGGAGATCCTTGTTTAAAATTGAAATATTTTGCCTTAATAAATGTCATGTTATTATTATTTTTCTTTTAAGCTGCAGCTGTTAGTAGTTGCAAAATCATTTAAACTTAATTTTGGTCCTTGTTATAATTTATAAAAATCCAGAGTTTACTCTAAATCCTGGTCTGCTGGGGCCAATAGCCTGGGAATCTTGGCTGACATAGACATTTTCTTAGCTATCAGCAGAGTGAGGGAGCAGTGAAAGCTGTTGTCCTAATTTTATCAGGGTAAAACATTTTATTTATTCATTTTTTTGGTAGAGGTTTTTGCCTTAGGGCATGTGCACTCACGGTGAGAGGGAAAGTGAGAAATCACCCACCGGGGGAATGGCAATGCCGCAGTCCCTTTTCCATTCTCCTCCTGGGATCTTGGGCACACACACACACACACACACACACACATACTCACACACATGGGCCTGGCATGAATTTCAAGTTACTGGGTCCGGCCTTGAACTATAGTCAGCCATGTTGGAGTCCAGTGACATAGCCATTATGCCAACTGCTGGTCCCCCACCGGGTCTGGAACTCGAACTGCAGTTGACTACGTGGGAGTCCAGTGACATAGCCATTATGCCAACTGCTGGTCCCCCACCGGGTCTGGAACTCGAACTGCAGTTGACTACGTGGGAGTCCAGTGACATAGCCATTATGCCAACTGCTGGTCCCCCACCGGGTCTGGAACTCGAACTGCAGTTGACTACGTGGGAGTCCAGTGACATAGCCATTATGCCAACTGCTGGTCCCCCACCGGGTCTGGAACTCGAACTGCAGTTGACTACGTGGGAGTCCAGTGACATAGCCATTATGCCAACTGCTGGTCCCCTAGAGCAGCAATTTTAAACCAAGTGAAAAGACAACCCATGGAATAATAGAAAGTATTTACAGATTGTATATCTGGCTAGGGGTTAATGTGCAGGCTGTATAAAGACTTCCTATAGTTCAACAACAGCAAAAATCAGCCTCCTTAAAAATGGAGAAAAGGACTTAAACAGACTTTATTCAAAGAAGATACACAAATGTCCAAGAAACTGGGGCCAGCAGGTAGCATGGTGATTGGGGCACTGGATTCCCATGGTTTGAGTCCCAGACCTGGTGGCTTGTTTTCTCACTTTTCCTCTTGTTCACTCTCTCTCTGTGTCTCTCTCTGGTGACCACATGTGCCCTATAGCAAATTTTAAAAAAATTAATAAAAATAAATAAAATAAATAATTTTTAACAACCCTGAAAATCAAATGGCCGAGAAACTCATGAAAGATGCTTAACTTTGCTAATTATTAAGGAAATGTACATCAAAACCATGAGATGCTACTTTACACCCCCTAGGATGGCTATTATTTAAAAAAAAGAGAACTAGTTCTGTAGCCTTGTTGTTAAAGAACCCGTATCTCACATGATCAACTGCAGTTTGAATCCTGGCCCCTGTAGCTTGAAAAACATGGCAGGTTTTTCAAGTATGAGCACATGCTCACCTCAAATTCTGATAAGATGGAGAAATAGAGGAGAAGGGATTGCAGAGTGATCATGCCCCATGGGGAGGGAGCGGTTCTTTCCCTGCCACCTGCCTTTCTGTCTTTCTCTGGCCAGAACATGTGCCCTCTGGCAGTTAAAAAAGAAAAAAATGAAAACAGAAAATAACAACTATTGATGAGTTCTAGAGAAATCGGAACTCTGTGCATTGTTGGTGGGCATATGAAATAGCACAGCTGCTGTGGAAACCAGTATGGTGGTTTCTCAAAAAATTAAAAATAGAATTATCTTATGTTCTAGCAGCTCGACTTTTGGGTATGTAGCCAAAATAACTAACAGCAAGGTCTTGAGATATTTGTCCTCTCATTTTCATAACTGCATTATTTGCAATAGCCAAAAGGTAGAAACAACCCAATTGTCCATTGGCGAATGAATGTATAAACAAAATGTGGTATGTACAGACCATCAGATATTATTCATCCTTAAAGAGGAAAGGAATTCTAGGGCCAGGAGGTGGCGTGGTGGTTAAAGAGCTGGATTCCTACATGGACGACTGCGGTTTGAATCCTGGACCTGGTGGCCTGAAAATCATCCCAGGCGTGTGTGCCCAAAATCCTGAGAGGAGACTAGATTGTGGCATGGCCATCCTCTTGGAGTGATTTCTCACTTACCCTCTCATTGTCTCACTCTGTGTCTTTATGGTGAGCACTTGTGTGCTGTGGTAAAAAACCTTACAAAAAAAAAAAAAGAAAATTCTGACATATGCTACACCACACATTAGCTTTGAGGACATGCTAAGTGAAGCCAGTCACAAAAGGACAAATGTTATATGATTTCACTTATATGAGGTACCCAGAGCAGTCGAAATCATAGAGACAGAAAGTAGAATGATGGTTGTCAGGGTCTGTGGAAATGGGAGAACAGAGTGCTGTTATTTAATGGGTACAGAGTTTTCGTGAGGGACAGTGAAAAATACTAGAAATGAATGATGTTAATGGGTGTCCAACACTGGAATGTATTTAATACCATTGAACTGTACAGTTTAAAATGGTAACTTTTATGTATATTTTTATCATAGTTAAGAAATTCCCTTTGTGGGGCCAGCAGGTGGTATGGTTGAGGTGCTGGACTCCCACATGGCTGACTGCAGTTTGAATCCTGGATCTGGCTGCTTGATTTCTCACTTTCTCTCTCTCTGGTCAAAGTTTTAAAATGATAATAAATAAAATTAAACAAATAATTAACATTTTTTTTCTTTGCTAGGTTCCTAGAAGTACTCTCACCTGCTTAGACTTGGCTAGTAAAATGAACATCCTTTTTTTTTAAACGGAGATTTTTTGCTATAGGGCACGTGTGCTTGCAGAGTGACGGAGAAGGACATAATGCGAGAAATCATCCCTCAGGGGAGATGGCCACACCACAGTCCCGTCTCCTCTCAGGATTTTGGGCATGCGCACACATGCGCCCAGCATGAATCTTAGCCACCAGGTCTGGGACTCAGCTGCAGTTGACTATGTGGGAGTCCAGCAACGTAATCATTACACCATCTGCTAGTCCCATAAAATGGCCATACTGGGGAT